TGACACTCGCACGAGTGACATATGACACTGGTACGATTGACATTTGACACTGTATTAGTGAGGATGACACTTTATGAGTGACAAATACAGCTAACTCATACTTCATAAGGATTGGCCAACTCAAGACACCATTAATTACCAATAAATAAATAGACAATTAAACAATTATAGTGGCAGATGTGGGGGAAAACCTGACTCCAATAACTAATAATTAAATATATACTTCGATAGCTATGAAGGACCACCACTTTGAGAAAAAGTGGAAAACAAAATAAGGCAATGGAAAAACTGATCCCAAGAACTAGTGTCCTATGGATCTTAGTGAAACTGTATTTGATATAAATGGAGTCAAATTAACTTAGACAAAATTGGGGGGTTACATGCTAAAAGATTAATACATCCCTAGCATTATTCTGGTGCTGGTTCTTCACCAGAGTAAATAAAATATGAAAATAAATAAGGTTGATTAGAATATTAATTGGAGGTAAATGCTCCTCAATATACTACTGAAATGTTGAACAGTATCAGTAAATCAATGGGTTAGTGTACTGTAACTACTGTAACTACAGAGTTATTGCTACAGATAAAAAAGGGACAGCTTTGCTGTAAATCTAGTGAGGTGTAATCAGTTGCTACGCTCCACCGACGACGTGTTGCATAGGGTAAATTGTTGCACGGAACGGTGGGAAACCTAGCACCTCGGTTGACGTCGCCTTGGTACTGAAAGGCAATTACATTGTAGAAATCTTCTACGTAATAAGTAACTACAAATAAATCCTAAATCATGAAGATAACTGTAGGAAATTTCAGCCAATATCTGTGCAAGTTATATTCAAGCACTGTAAATTTCTTCTATAGAGAAATAATAAAAATAATCATCTATTCAGATTGTAAAATTACTAAAGACACGTACGAGATTTATTTGTTTGTTCTACGGCCTAACGACAACTAGCCTAAATGTTAATTGTGGCCACATAACAAAAAGGTAAACCTAGCTGCCGAGCCGCGTGTCCGTTGATGTGGAAACTTGAGCAATTCTTCGTCCTCCAGCTGCTGCTTGAAAGGCGTTGACTTTGGAATTGCTCATATGCTAGTCGAGGACACGGCTATTGTGCCAAATAACGTGGCACCGCTCTACTGGTCGTTGGAGCGAAATATTTTGGATCAAACCGTAGCTCTGCTACAAGCTATCAATGGCGTCCGCGTCGTGCTCTCTCGTTCTCTCGTGTATAGTGACGCTCTCCCGTCTTCCCCCTCTTCCTTATTGCGCATGCGCGACTCTCGATAGACATCTCGAGCGTAAATGGATATTTATTTATTTATTTATTTATATACAAGAAGGTACATTGGGTTTGTGAGAATACACAGTAATTACTAATACATAGTACAGTAATTGCACTCTTGTAAAGCCACTAGTACGCGCAGCGTTTCGGGCAGGTATGTATATGTATATATCGCAATTGACTAAGGAAGAGGTAGTGATGAGTTAATATCACATTAAATTCTTCTGTGATAAAATAGAATTTCTCGTAACAAATTGGCTTATTAAAGTTGTGCAGCCAATCGAGAAAATTAAAGTAAAATCATTTACATCAAAGTAATTTCCTCTAGAATGTTTGATATCAACTAAATAAGGGAGTTCCAGTAAGTAGTAGTGTACTACGAAATTAAACTTATTAGTAAGTAACTATTTTTAGTAAAGGAAATGATAAACTGGACTCTGTTATAAATCCAACTAAATGTGAAGAGAATTCATGTTACTGCCTGTTGTTCCTCACGTCGTCACTCTGACTAGGAAGAATCTAGCAATGTCTAAATAAATCATGATAATGATTAAATCTACAAGTTAGTAATTTTAGTAACTACTTGTGGTTAATACAAAGGTTGCATAAAATACAAAGATGTATAAAACTGTTGGTTATTTCCAACATAATAAATAAATTATAAAAATTATAAAATTATATAAAATAATTAATAAAAATAATAAATTATGAAACCCTGGAAAGCTGCATATTAAGTTGTTTGTGTTAAAGTTGGGCACGCAGCCTCTCCCTCCCATTCAAACTCTAGGTGCTAATGAGAGCAGAGAGCTACCATATCATATCTTGAGATGATTTCGGGGCTTAGCGTCCCCGCGGCCCGGTCCTCGACCAGGCCTCTTTTTTGTTACATACCCCCCAGGAAGCAGCCTGTAGCAGCTGTCTAACTCCCAGGTACCTATTTACTGCTAGGTAACAGGGGCATCAGGGTGAAAAAAAAATTGCCTATTTGTTTCTGGCCCCGCCGTAGATTGTACCCGGAACCTTAGGACTAAATCCTGAGCGCTGTTCACTCATCCGTCAGGCCCCTTACACAAATGTACGTAATGTTTATAACCATAAAAACAGTTATAAACATGCAAGAGAAAATAGTCCTTACGATATTGAGGAACAGGGTATGTGGGAGCCATGTTTTATCCTTAATAATATAAACAGCCACACTTACCGAAAAAGGGATTCGTGCGTAGCGACTGGGACACAAGTGCTGTTGTTGAGGTCAGACAAAGTTAAGAGACAGTCGAGCTGTTGATTGATTGCAGCAATCAATCAACAGCTTTTTGGTGATTTTGCTGCTTCTCTGTAGTTGGCCGCCCCACCTGCTTGATCAGCACCGAAGTATACATAGGTGTCAGCGAGAGAGGAAACATGTGTGAGAGTATGCTTCCAGGTCATTGCAAACACACAAGCCCCATGCTGGAAGACCAGATTTGAGATTATTGTTCCGGTATGTGGGAGTATATTCCGTATCCCTTATACACTTCTTAGCCTCACCTTGGGCGTCAGATGTGGGATGATACCCTCTCACAGACACTCAGTTGACCATGAGCGTCAGATGTGTAATGGCCAATCTTACCACACAAGTCCAGCACCGCGCTGGGTGCCAGAATGTGAGTGTTACTGGTTAATACACTCCGGAGGCGTGAGCAAAACGCCAAAGATCTAAGTACTTTTGTTGGAGGTGAGGACCAGAGCGGTCTTTACTTCCACAAGCAGTACCAGACCTTCCTTACTTAGGTCGTTCTCTCTTCAACTTGATTGCAAGCAAATCTAACATGTAGAGGACGGGTTCTCACACCGAATTTTAATTCAGTGACTGGGGCTATGGGGCTAGAATCCCAAGCCAACTCAAATCGGCCGGAGGGACCCCCTCAATGCGCATGCGTGACAACCCTCCCGCTCCAGGGCCTTGCTAGGAGCTTCCGCTTTTAATTGTGTTCCATGTATGCTGTTGTCAAGTCACCTAACCTGCCACCGAGGCTGTGGGGACCGACCTGTGAGATTTATATTTATTTAAATTATATGAATTTATATAGAATTTATATTTACGTTAATTTATATTTTCGATAGCAATTTGTATGATGTTAAGTTGACTATTTCTGCAATAATCTCACAAATCGATCCACTACACATTAGGGGGGGGGTTTATATTGAATTTATATATATATGCAGCCAATCAAACTACAGTATTAAACTACATATTAGTATACATTAAAGAGGTTCCTTATCTTATTACACAGCAGGGCTTAGTCCACCAGATATAACTAGGATGTAGACACCAAATTATCCTCTTCGAGGTAGCTTCCATCACCCCCAGTAACTGGTACACAAAGTTTGCTTCCTCTTCTTGACCTGTCAAAAGGGCGCTAGCTAAAAGCCAGAATCCTAATATATGACAGCTATATCAGAGAAAACACTGTACAATGAATCAGAAAGACCAAGGCTTAATTACCTTTTTTTAAGAGGCTGTCCATTCTAACCGGTACGCCCTATCTACTGACAATGGCCAAAAATGATTAGATAAATGGATTTCGGCAGAACACTTTCCTTGTATTTGTTGACAGCGTGTTGATGATGGCAGACCTTTGGTTTCCATAACACTTCGTCCAAGAGAAATTAACAGGAGCCGAATTTGCTCCCGTGCGCCTCTGGTCTAAACAACAATGGCTGACCACACCCTCATCACTACTGACGCCTCCCTTACATTGTAGAGATGTCAGTAGCTGATAGAATGGTCACATTTACTCTATTTTAATATTGATAATTAAGTTAATTTATATGAGATGGTTTTATGATGGTAAAGTCCAAAGACTAATGTATTAAGAATAATTCCCAGCAGAATAGCTGGTGAATTTATAATAGTATGTGGCAATGATATCCTATCCCGTTTTCTATAGACGGAAAATTCCACTATAAGCTACATTTTCTATGGGTAACTTGTTTATACAATGCAGCAACAATATCTGCAATTGCATGTAATATTATTAAATGGTGTCGGATTTTCCGACAGAGGCACATATATTTATGTGGGGGTCCTTGAACAGTGTACCATAACATGGACCTATACTTTTTCTGATACATGTAAATGATCTCCCAGAGGGTATAGATTCGTTCTTCACATTGTTTGCTGATGGTGCAAAAATTATGAGGAGGATTAAGACAGAGTAAGATAGTATAAAGCTTCAAGATGACCTAGACAAACTGAATGAATGGTCCAACAAATGGCTATCAAAGGTCAACCCGAGTAAATGTAAGGTAATGAAACTAGGCAATGGAAACAAAAGGCCAGACACAAGATACCGAATGGAAGAAGATGTCCTACATGAAACGGACAGAGATAAAGATCTAGGAGTTAATATCATACTAAACCTGCTTCCTGAAGTCTACATACAAAAAGAATAACATTGGCGGCGTACGCAAGGCTGGCTAACATCAGAACAGCC